AGCCTCCACGTGGCCCAAGCAGGCAAAGGTTCGCATCTGCTCTCTTGCTCGCCGGCGGGCTCAAGCTTCCTCTGTTGAAGGCCGGTGCGCATGCGCTCGAGATTGAAGCATAGCAACACCTCTCCTGTCGCCGTCTCGTTTTTGCTGCAGGCGAGCTGGGCACGGTGGTGTTCCTGCACGGATTCCCGGAGATATGGTACTCGTGGCGCCACCAGATGCTGGCCGTGGCCGCCGCCGGGTACCGCGCCGTCGCGCCGGACTGGCGAGGGTACGGGCTCTCGGACCAGCCGCCGGAGCCGGAGGCCGCGTCGTACGACGACCTGGTGGAGGATCTCCTCGCAATCCTCGATGCCCTCTCCGTTCCCAAGGTAATACTGCTTTTTTTGTAGAATCGCTGTGGTAAGTTCTTGGGTTTGGTCTTGATTGGGGGAATTTTTTCTTGGTAGTTGTTGGTTCAGTACTTCAGTGCGACTTGTCACTGTTAGCTTATCTGATATGATACTGCGATTGGCACGATGGGTGGACAGGAACCATGTAAGAATGTTCCGACATGGCTATATGTTTTGAAGGATTTGGAATGTACTTATGTACATCTCAAACGATATGCTAGGATTTTTTTAGAAAAAATACTATGGATGAAGTAGTTCTTAAGGAAAATTGCTGTTAAGTTTGTGCAATTCTAAGGGCACGTAGAATTCGTTCACCACTGTTTTCCATCTCATGCGACGATATGATTTGTTGGGAAAACATACTTAGTGTATATTTAGACAGAAGAAACAAATAAGACCAACATTTTCAATCCAACCTCTTGGCAGTTTATTTTATTCAGAATAAGGTGGAAATTTGAAGGGGAAAAAAAGGATAGAATTCCTGTGTATTTCTTAGAGAAACCTTCTTGGCAGTTCTATTGTCCATCAGACTAAGCTTTGCCTATTTTGGTTATCTGCCCAGCTTGTGCTACTAAGTCATTAGTTCAGTTGAATTAAATAATTTCCAATCATAGTAAAATTTCTTCAAAAAATAATCTTACCTTGTGAATCTTGACAGGCTTTCCTTGTGGCGAAGGATTTCGGAACCATGCCAGCCTATGAGTTTGCTCTACGTCACCCTAGCCGCACATGTGGTGTTATGTGTTTGGGGGTCCCCTTCCTTAACGGTGGCTCATCCTATACCAGCTTGCCAGAAGGCTTCTACATTTTGCGCTGGCGGGTTGTTCTCTAATCTGAAAAAATATATAATCCCCATTGCCAAATTGAGTACAGTTGCCGAAAACAATGACAGGGGAAGCTTGTTCTTGTAGGAACCGGGAAGAGCAGAGGCTGATTTTGGGCGGTATGATGTCAAGAGAGTTGTTCGGACCATCTACGTACTCTTCTCTAGGAGCGAAATCCCAATAGCAAAAGAAGACCAAGAGATTATGGACCTTGCGGACTTGTCAACACCTCTTCCAGAGTGGTTCACTGAGGATGATCTCGCTGTGTATGCTTCACTCTATGAGAAATCGGGTTTCCGGTATCCAATGGAGATGACATATAGGTAACAATAGCAACTGGGCCAACCATACTATTCGTTTTGTGGGTTTTGAAAAATCAAGGTGTAATATGCTGCATTTGACAGGACTCTCCATAAAAGGAAGCCAATTGAAGATCCAAAATTTCAAGTCCCAGTGTTTGTTGTCATGGGGGAGAAAGACTATGTGTTCAAGTTCCCTAGTGTTGAGTCCGTTTTGAAAGATGGCATCATGGAGAAATTCGCACCGGACCTAAAGATCACCTACATCCCTGAAGGAAGCCATTTTGTTCAGGAGCAGTTCCCGGACAAGGTGAATGATCTCCTGATCAGCTTCTTGAAGGACCACCCTGTGTCTGCATAGATGTTCTAGCAGTTCATGTTCACTGTCATAAGCAACAGCTGCGATGGGCAAAACTGCTTTGTGTAGTGTCGCCAGTAAAGGAACAATCTGATGAGTGAATTCAGCTTTCAGTGTTTTGACTGTGTTTGCATCTAGCGTGTGAAACAAGTTTTAAAAATCAAGCAGTATTGATTGCATAGAGCATCAGTGTTCTTGAAGAAAATGATTGGAGACTGAAAATTCAAGTATTGCCTTAGAAACTGTCATCGCAGGTTGCATACTGTCAAACTGAGTAGTCGAACCTGACCATAGTCTGCCGTGGCCAGGAGAGTTCTTGTGAGCGGCTTTGATGGTCACTCGCTTGGATGTGCTCGACTATATAAACCGCACGCATAAAAAAATGAGTGGTAAAAAACTGAATTCAGGCAGGCAGTGACCTAGAACCAGCAGAAGATGCGTTATGCCCAACGTTTTAAATCTCCAGCCATGGTATTTAGCGAATGACATCTAAAATAGCTAATAGCGAAATTAAATGGGGCTATAGCAGACTATAGCCGCTAAATTGTACGTTAACACAAATATCTTGACCTTCCCCCAAATAATCTTTCAACGGTACAATACACACATTGGATAGAAAAGATCAATTAATTTACTAATTCAAAGCACACAAACTCTTCATCTCCTAGGGTAACCAAACAGATGAACTTTGATCTAACAGAAAGCTACTCATCACCATTGGCGTCAGAGCATACAAACTCTTCATCTCATAGGGTAACCAAACAGATAGAACTTTGATCTACCAGGAAGCTGCTCATCACCGTTGGCTTCAGATGAATGTGTTAACCAACCCAAGAAAACATACAAGAGTCTATAGGTTTACGACAAAACAACAGGTTGCATTAATCTTACTACATAACGAAAGAGAATTTTTGAGTGCCTATGCATAAATCCACTACAATCTCCCTCACAAGTCACAACCAGAACCAGCAGGGCAGAACATATAGAATAAACCCTGCAATTAGATGAGAAAAAATCAGTATTAGTCGATGCAATGTGACATTTATGCTAGCATCAGGTGCTGTTAATTAGGATGTTACGAATGCTTACTAACCAGCGCATCCTCATGCCAGAAAAACATAATAAAACAGCAAAACAGAGTAATAGCTTAACTGAGTAACAACAGCTACTATATAGTCAGTTCAGAATTTTCAGATGCACCGGCAGAGAGCAGGTCAAAGTAGCTGTTGTTCTGTTAGGTCTCATTGCATGAGTCAGTGTGCATCTGAAATTCTGAACTGACTAAAGTAGTAGCTGCTGTTCTGTTAGGTCGCCTAACACTAATTAATTAACAACACCTCTGTCCCCAGAACCAGCCAACATCCAACTCAGAGTTTATAATTCATGCTAATGTTACAAAAATGGGTTTGAAATGCGAGCTTCGGGCTATGCCAGAAAAATACTTTTTAAAGAAAATTAATATATGCATCACACACACAAGCTTTCTCAGTTCCTCGATACTAGTATAACCAAACTAGCAGGATCGCACAGAGCACTGAATAAGTGAACAGAGCACTGACAGCATGCACATGAAAATCAGACCACGACTAACTAGCAGGCTCGCGCAAAAAAAAAGCAAATGCACTGAGCAGACGCAATGATCAAGAAACATTGTCAACTTACTATTCAGATATAATGAAACCAAGAGCTACTTTCAGCTCTAGCTAATGCTCACATAACATTTCTGAAAAAGAAGTAGTCACATAATACAGAAACATTGTCACAGTACTAATTTGTAATCTCCTTAGTCCTTTGGTTTCACGGATTTATTATGTGTATAAACAAACGGTCTCATTTACAGAATATGGCCTGCTGAACAATCAACTGCCTGCATGCATAGTACATATGTGCTATATCTCCTATCCTGCTTTCATGTACCGAGGCTGAAGGAGAACAACTGAACAAGGTTAGGAGGAAAAACCAGATAAAGATTGCTACTACCTATATCTCACCCAGACAAGTTATCTTAATTCCTTATGCAATGGTTAAATACTTAAATTGTATATGCATTGATGTTTATGTTCAGCTCAGTAACTGTTGTTTTGCATTATTTTTCTTACATATGCAACTTGTCTTCGTAGGTTATGGTTAACAGGCTATTGTCGATGAACAAATATATGATGCTAGGAGGAACCAAATACAAATTAATTAGGTAATTATTTTTGTACTGGTCCATATTTCATCTAGTGTGTTGTACCGCAAGAATAGAATTATCCTTCTAAATATGCATACAATGCAGCACCATGGATTGTAGGCTACCAAGGTAAGCATTGCAGTTTGAAGAACAGACTACAAATACAGAAAAATTAAAGAATCTGAATCCAGTGCATCTACATCAAAATGTTCACATATACAGATATAGGAGTACTAGATCAAGAATGCACAAGTGATGTGCCATTGACCCAAACACGCTCCAGTGGAAACAAATCGACAGGATTGCACCTAGTAAGAAACATAGAACAATAAAAAAGCACCAGTTGTAGCAAGAACCACCAAAAGACCACACAGTTCCAACCAAATAGTTGCTTTTCAAACTCTTTCAGTGCCAATGTGTAGTTTTCTTTTCTTTTCTTTTTTTTTTTTTTTGAAAAGGCCAATACATAGTTTGAACTTCTGAAAGCATGCAGAGCAAAGTTTAACTGAATTGCACAAATGTAGTACTAAAAAGAAAAGGAGCACGACACTTTTATGAGGAACACAACAAAATGGATTGCAGTAAGAATTATGATCATTTGCAATTACAAAAAGTGACAAAAGTTTGAACTGGCATAGCTCCAACAAATTGACTTCTGCAGCCAACCCTAGCTAGGCTGAACAAGGAACAAGACTAGAGTCCCAGCACATGCATTAGAAGAACTGGCTGAAGGTCATTATAAACAAAGGCTTATTTGGCTGATCTTAAGCCTATCTCATGAGCCAGTTTTTTCTCACGGAAAATCTGCTCAACAGGCCATCTTGATGTAGGCCAACAATGCAAGCAGACTGCAATGGGTGCTTACTAATCGCTCATTCACACAACCAGTGGCCAAATGTACACATCTGAAATGCAAGAGGCAAGACTTGGAATAGAAAAACATACCTCTCCGTATCCTTAAATCCTCCTTGGTGACATAGATGGTGGGAAACCAAAATATGGATAGGCACCACAAGCAGGGGATCTTGTCCTACCGACCCTCTCAATATTGAAAGACTTAATCTCAAGTGAAAAAAATGCCGAATATGTTGTATCCTTTTCATCTGGAATGCATTCTATGAAAATGTATCCTTCAGCTGGACCACCAATGTTGCCTTCAAAAGTATAATGGGCAGGCAAGGGGATGGTACTCTTCAAATGCCACTCATGGGACTTCTCACTGCCATTTTGCGAAAAGGTGTAATAATAATCCACAGATGTGCTTTCATGAACCGTACTAAACATTGCAACCCTACTTTCCCCTGACTCAACAATGACGATTTGCCACTTATCATGGCCAGGCGGGAGGCCAATAGTGCAAAACTGCATACTATTCATGTCGAGCTTGACCACCGTGCTCATGTCGTTTAATTTCCAATAGAAGCAGTCAGGCGTTACATTGTTCTTGAATGAACTCATTAACTTCATCCAGGCCTAGATCGTCCCCAACTGATAGACGTACTGACACTCCAGCAGCCAGAGCCGAAGAGAAGATAAAAACCCCAACCTTGAGCTGGATTGCATCAAGCTGATCACACTGAATGATGTATCCTCCTCTGTGCCTCCTGAGCGGATGAAGGAGGCCCCGAAAGGAAAATATCTTTGTTTTGGATACCGATGGAGGCGAGTAGGTCGTCGGTTATGGGAGGCAGCAGCAGGTATCGCCGGGACAACGGGTCGCACACCAGGAGGTCGCAGTAATTGGGGACTTCGTGGCAACTGCGCTCGAGGAGGACGCGGCCGTCGTCATGGCATTTACCGAGTCCAGTGGTCCTCCCATGTGGTGCGAGGGAGATAGTCGAAGGAAAACGCGACAGCCCGGCGGCACGGCAGCGGAGGGATGGGGCGCCTCGGCAGGACCGAAACCATAGGATGTAACGGCCGAGGAGTAAGGGCGGGTGAATGGAGCGGTACCGGCGGAGGAAGGCGGGGTCAGCGATGAGGCGACGGAAGGAGACGCAGGCGGTGGAGGCGCGGGCGAGGTCCGCAGGGGAGGCGACGCGGAGCAAGATCTCCTCGAGCAGGTCGCTGGTTAGGGCCGGCGGCGGCCTCTCTGGATCCATGGCATCGGGGTAGGGCAGGGGAGGCTGAGGTGAACTCTTTGACACCAGATTGGGCACCTCTCCGCCGTCGGCAAATGGAGGAAGTGAACTGAGAATGCGTGGTTTTTTTTCTTTCTTTTTTGGAAAGGGACACTACGTAGTTTGAACTTCTGAAAGCATGGAGAGCAAAGTTTAACTGAATTGCACAAATGTAATACAAAAAAGCAAAGGTGCACGACACTTTTATTTTTGTTTCAGAGAGGAACACAACATAATGGATTGCAGTAAGAATTATGATCATTTGCAATTACAAAAAGTGACAAAAGTTTGAACGGACATAGCTCCAAAAAATTGACTTCTGCAGCCAACCCTAGGTAGGCTGAACAAGGAACAAGACTGGAGTCCTGGCACATGCATTAGAAGAACTGGCTGAAGGTCATTATAAATAAAGGTTTATTTGGCTGATCTTAAGTCTATCTCATGAGACAGTTTTTCTCACGGAAAATCTGCTCAACAGGCCATCTTGATGTAGGCCGACAATGCAAGCAGACTGCGATGGGTGCTTACTAATCGCTCATTCACACAACCAGTGCCCAAATGTACAGGTAAGACATGCAAGAGGCAAGACTTGGAATAAAATAACATACCTCTCCATATCCTTAAATCCTCCTTGGTGACATAGATGGTGGGAAACCAAAATATAGATAGGGACCAGAAGCAGGGGATCTTGTCCCACCGACCCTCTCAATATTGAAAGACTTAATCTCAAGTGAAAAAAATGCTGAATATGTTGTTGTAACCTCTTCATCTGGAATGCATTCTATGAAAATGTATCCTTCAGCTGGACCACCAATGTTGACTTCACAAGTATAATGGGCAGGCAAGGAGATGGTACTCTTCAAATGCCACTCATGGGACTTCTCACTGCCATTTTGCGAAAAGGTGTAATAATCCACATTCCACAGATGTGCCTCCATAAATTATACTAAACATTGCAACCCTACTTTCCCCTGACTCCACAATGACGATTTGCCGCCTATCATGGCCAGGCGGGAGGCCAATAGTGCAAAACCGCATACTATTCATGTCGAGCTTGACCACTGTGCTCATGTTGTTTAATTTCCAATAGAAGCAGTCATACGTACATTGTTCTGAAATGAACTGATCAATTTCATCCAAGCCTAGATCGCCCCAACTGACAGACGTACTGACACTCCAGCAGCCACAGCCCGAAGAGAAGATAAAAAACGCCAACCTTGAGCTGGATTGCATCCAGCTGATCACACTGAATGATGTATCCTCCTCTGTGCCTCCTGAACGGATGAAGGAGGCCCTCGAATGGAAAATGAGATCATTGTTTTGGATCCCGATGGAGGCGAGTAGGTCGTCGGTTATGGGAGGCAGCAGCAGGTATCGCCGGGACAGCGGGTCGCACACCAGGACGTCGCGAATGCGCTCGAGGAGGACGCGGCCGTCGCGGGCATCGCGCGGAATCCAGCGGTCCCATTTGGTGGTGCGAGGGAGATAGTCGAAGGAAAACGCGATAGCCCGGGCGACGGCGGCGGAGGGATGGGGCGCCTCGGCAGGAAGAAAACCATAGGATGTAACGAAGCCGAGGAGGAAGGGCGAGTGAATGGAGCGGTACCGGCGGAGGAAGGCGTGGTCAGCGATGAGGCCGCTGAAGGAGACGCAAGCGGTGGAGGCGCGGGCGAGGTCCGCAGGGGAGGCGACGCGGAGGAAGATCTCCTCGAGGAGGTCGCTGGTTAGGGCCGGCGGCGGCCGCTCTGGATCCGTGGCATCGGGGTTGGGGCAGCTGAGGCGAACTCTCGACGCCATATTGGGCACCTCTCCGCCGCCGGCAAAAGGAGGAAGTGAACTGAGGATCGAGGGTCTCGGGCACATTTGTGTACGGGCAGAGCCGCAGAGGTGGGAGACGGCCAGACGGGGGAAAGGGATGGCGACGACAAGTAGGCCCGGACAGTCAGTGAGCCGGTGCGACCTGACGAGCAGGCCCAGGGCGCCAGCGACAGAGAGGAGGAGGGTGCGCGCGTCCACTCGGCCACGGCGTGGGCCTCGACCTGGGCCTGGCGTGCGCGCGAAGGAGATAGGGAACCGCTGGGCTTTCCAACTCGGAGAGAGGGAGGGAGCCGAGCTGGGCTTTCAGTCTAGCAAGGGGGAGAGGGAGGCGGTGGGAGCTGTTGGGCTTGGCCGGGATTTCGGCCGGAGACTAGAGTCGGGTGGACCGAACAGAAAAAGGGAAAAAGAGTAACGAAAACTCGAAAAGGGATATTTCGCCCAAACTAAAAGTAAAGACTTCATGATTTTTCCCAAGCTGTTTTTCAAACATTTTGACTCCATTTAAAGATTCATTTTTAAAATTTCTTCGAATCTAGTTTGAAACAATTTTCGAACTTATTTTCAAATCAGAAGCCTTTGGTCCAGTGGTAGGGTTATCCAGTTGGACGCTACCCACCCACCAACCAGGGTTCAAACCCTGGTGTCGCGCCTTTTTTCTAGAATTTTTTCAAAAAAAAGTAGGGTACACGCACACGTCCGCGTTCGGTGGTACTGTGTGTTTCCCGCACACTGAGGCTAGAGAGCCTCCCAATCTTTATTTGCATGTGTACGGACGCGCACGTGTGTGTGCGCGCGCGCGTGGGGTGAGTGTGGAGCGCCTGGGTGTCCTGGGCAACTCGAGTTTGTCTCATCGTCGGTTGCGAGATAGAGATAGTTCTTTCCTCTTTCGATAGGAGAAGGCCGGGGAGACCCTTGCCCAAACGGTGGGGAAGTTGCTGTTTGATCGTTGGGTGTGGTCGGAGCACATCGGACATGTAGTGGGATGGATTTAGTGTCCGGTGAGGGGGATTGAGTGCAAGGATCTTGGGGATAATACATTTCTGTTCTCCTTCAATCAAGCTACGGGGAAGAGAAAAGCATTAGAAGAGGGGGCCATGGATGATCTCGAATGAACTACTGGTGGTGGCGGATTTTGATAGTTCAAAATTGTTAGATGAGTTGAATTTCTCATTCATCCCCATTTGAATTTGTGTTTCACGTTTGTCAATGAAGAGGACCGGACGCGGGCGCTGCCGAGGCAGGCCAGGCCACCTGCGCGGAGAAGATACCCATGAGGATTAGGGAAGAAGGAGAAATAAAGAAGAGAAAATAAGAAAAACATATAAAGAAAATGATAATATAGTCATTTCATTTTTTTCTTCACCATGGAAAGCTGTTTTGCCAAACAATCTAACAAAAATAGCTCAAGCTCCATTGATAGAGCTGTTCGTGGAGCTAAAACTGAAAAAAATACAGCTCTAATAATGAAGTGGAGCCGTGCCAAATGGAACCATTGTGGTCAAATTGGTTCTCATGGGCCCTTCGTTTTTATATACGCATATCGTAGTTCACAATCTATATGTCGATGCTCCTGTAGTGAACCATTTCATTTCCTTTATGGTAATGATAAAGGATTCTGACCTAGTCACTTAGACCACGCACACCAGCCGATCAGGTAAGAAGTGTTACGTACTTTAATTTGATTGTGTTAATCTTAATTTTAATCTGTCCTCTGCCACTAGTAAAGACTATATATATATATATATTACGTACTTTAATTTGATTGTGTTAATCTTAATTTTAATCTGTCCTCTGCCACTAGTAAAGACTATATATATATATATATATATTAAAAAAATCAAAACGACTCATAATTAAGATCAGTATTTAAAAGTACTGTTCATCAATGTACCTGTATCATATCATACATATAGCATGTGACCATGCTTCCATACTTGGGCGACCAGATCAAACGATTCTAGCTAGAACGTGGCAAAATTCAGAGAGCCTAGCTAGTCGATCTCCATCTGCTCCTCGATCGGTGCACCACTCCTCGGACGAAAGGATCTCTCTGCACCTGGGCTGGGGACGACGTCGATCGGATCATCTCCTCCCTCACATGACGTGCGGCATCGTGCCGTAGGGTTTGCTCTTGATCCCCATCATCCTGCGCGTCCTGGTGATGAAGTGGTCCCGTGGCTTGACAGCGCCGGGGATGTGCCCGATGAGCGTCATGAACGGCAGCTCCGCCAGCGCGTCGCGGTGGCCGAGCGTCACGGTCATGGACGTCCTCGGGGACGGCTTGTACCGGTGCAGCTTCTCCTCCCGGGTGGCGCCCTTCACCAGCAGCCGGAGGTTCCGGGACACCACCATTGCCTGCCGCTGCGCGAGGTGGCCCTGCTTCGCCTCCGGCACGTCCGTGATGTCGCCGACGGCGAACACGTTCCGCAGCCCGCCGACGCGGAGGTGGTCGTCCACCCGGATATGACCTTCCTCGTCCACGTGCTCCCTGAGGAGCGTCCCCCTGAGCCACCCGGACGCCACGGGCCGGCCCGTGCACACGAAGTGGGCGTCGGCCTCCACCGTCTCCCCCGCCGATGTCGTGAACTCCCGGGTGTCCGGCGTCGCCGACGCCAGGTCCACCGTCTGATCCAGCAGCACGGTGACGTTCTTGGAGCGTAGCCACTCCAGCGCCTTGGCCGACGCCCGGGCGCCCATCACCTTGAGCAGCCGCGGAGCGCCGTGGACGAGGGTCACGCGCTTCTCGGGGCTCTTCATCACGATCTCCGCCGCCAGCTCCACGCCGATGGGCCCGCCGCCTACGATCAGCACCGACCGGGCTCCGTCGATCCGCTCCTTGTCGTGCTGGAACATCTCCAGCCGCTCCGACTGCTTCTGCGGCCGGTTGCACGTGCGCCCCGTCGCGATCACCAGGAAGTCGTACGCCACGGCGCGGCCGATGGAGGTGAGCACCACGGAGTCGTCCACGCCGACGGCGAACGCGGTCACCACCTTGGCGTGCGTCAGGTAGTCGGAGTGCGGGATCACCGTGCGCTCCACCGCCGCCGGGTCCACCTTGGCGCGCAGGTTCGCCCACGGGATCTCGAAGTACTCCTTCCTGCATGCAGCACGGATGGATCCATGGATCGCGCGTCACCGGCCATGCATATCAAGAACATTATGGATCATCCGACATGCGCGCTGAAAGTTAAAACGTGCATCCAAACGGCGAAATTAAGCTCACGGGTCGATGAGGACGACGTCGGCGTGGTTCTGGAGCGTCTTGGCGAGGAGGGCGCCGGCGATGCCGCCGCCCACGATGACGACGCGGTCGCCGGTGGACCGCAGCATGATGCACGCCGGTTGGAGCCCTGCCTAGATATAGTTCGTCGCGTCGAGGAAGTGCATGCGACGAACAACTCAATCGATCGGTGATCGATCGACGCTCCGTCCTCTTCTGCGTCGTCGACGTTCTTATATATGGATGGATGAAGGAGGTTAATTTGGCGGGAGCTCGTGAGTTTGCTTCGTTTCGGGGTTTTTTCCCCCTTCTCGTGCTCAATTGTCATGAGAAGGGCCCACATGTCAATGAGCTAATCGGCCAGGAAATTGCTAAATCGAGCTTCCCAAAAATAGGACTGCTAAATGCTGCCAGAAAAGTGTACTTGCTAAGCTTGTCAATTATATTTTATCCTTTCAACTAGGTTGAAGTTGATCACCATGGTCACAGAACACAACATTCATTTCCGACTTTCCAAGTTTAAGGCCTTGTTTGATGTATGTGTATCGATTTTAATCCACATGTGTTGGAGTGGATTGGAATGTAACTTAATTTAATTTTCACTTTAATCCACTTCAATACATGTGGATTGAGATGGATACATCACTACTAGAAAACAGACATTTCACCCCGCCTCTATTTTTATCTTTAGTCCCGGTATTTTTGTGTTCGGGACTAAAGGGACTATTAGTCCCGGTTGTATCCTCAAACAAGGATACAAAGTTCATGCCCCAAGTGTGTGGCGACGGCAGGCAACAATTAGTCCCGGTTATAGCCCAGAGCCGGGACTAAAGGTTATCCTTTAGTCCCGGCTGGACCCTCCAATCGGGAATAAATCTTTACTCCTGGCTTGAGGCTCCAGCCGAGATTAAAGGACCTTTAGTCCCGGCTCTTGGCTATAACCGGGATAAAATCTTTCTTGATAAAATAATATAGTCGCGCTGGAAAAAAAAATGGGGCAGCCAGACATTGAACCCACGACCTCATAGCCAAGGTCCAAACCGCAACGCACTAGCTAGCCATCTGAACTAAGTCACTTTCTCAACAAGAAAGCATCTAAATATTTATTTAATAAGAGAAAAGACCCTTTAATTGATTATACTATTTTGTTAACTATACTTTGAATTTTCTGGTCCATGTGTTTTCTAGTGCCTGATTGATCTCATAATTTTTATCAGGGTTTCAAATGCCCAGTGTGAAGCCACCACTAAGTTCGAGATTTTTCTGAATTGGTTTGGTAATTTTTTCACTTTAATTGAATTTCCACGCGACTTCACCGATTAATTATACGTTGAACTGAGTCCACCCCCGAAAAGATCCGAAATGGTGCCAAACTTTGCCAAATGATCTCTTGTGCTTTAGGAGACAAATATTTGTGGAGGTTGATGCAAAATTATATTGTTTTCAATATGTAATTCACCGTATTTCGTCTCACGCGGCACAAAGAAAAATGTAATAATAAAAATAATTAGCAGAAAAATCTAAGATCTTGTGTGGGGTCATATTTTGGGTGTAAATGACTGCCAAAAAAATTTCAATCAATTTCGACATAGGCGGAGTCGACGTGCTTCACAGAGATATATAGAACCTTTCGTCGAATCCTATCTATACACTTAGGTTCTCTGGGACTCTGAAGTCCATTTGCTTTCTAGTGCCGGATTGGTCTCCAACTTTTTCTCAAGACTACAAATGCCATGTGTGTCGCCACCACCAAGTTTGA